GGTGCGGCTTCACTAGTAGAATTTGATTTCAATTCAAACTGACTGAAAGCCATCATCTCCTAAATTTGCTTCGGTATTATCACCATTTTTCAAAAAGCCCATGTTTTTCCTTCCTTATCCTCTGGATGCATTCCACGTGGCCATTTCCTTATCTCATGATAGGCCAAAGCCTATCACCACCTATTTGCCCGTGCAACCATGCATGCCACATCCTTTTCTTCCAACCACATGCACAAATCCAAAACACCTTTTTTGAAAATGCATAGCCGCACGACATTGAAGCCACCTTTGATCTTCTAATCCGGTAGCATTTAATCTTTTGGACTCCTCAATTATCTCCACATTTTTAGAAATAATTTTCTTAATAATTCCCTAGATAATATTGTGATTATTAAAATCATAATATTATCTAGACAAATTATTAATCAATTATCTCAACCTTCTTCCAATCCAATGGCTCAGAATTTTACTCATTCTACGGTCTCGATTGCTCAGGCCGATAGCGTAAATTTGGGTCCAAACATTGCCCCCCAGTTTCCTTGAGCTTCGGCTCATAAGCCGAATGGTCAAGGAAATTAATTGTTCATAGCCAACAAAATCTCATCGTGTCACTGAAAAAGAAACTTTGCTTTTTGGCAATAACACCCATGTAATATTATCAAAACCACCACCGAATAACCATCATTCGGCCTTACGGAAATTCATTATGTTTCACCAAATGGGCCACCGCTTCTCATCTAACTCGGAATTTATATATATATATATATAGGGGTAGTTGATTGCCTGATATGATTTGTCTGCCATGCCTTTAGCATATATATATATATATACATATATATAGACACACACATACACACAAACACACACACACACATAAAACAAACCTGTGCCGAGCATCATCTCGCCGAGCTCGGCATGTGTGTTCGTGTATATATATGTTAGTGACTTGTAAAAGTGGCTAAACCATATGGGGCCGAGAGAAATGAGCCGAGTTCAAGAAGCATTGGGTTAAAGTCACATCATCAAAACCACCATCACTCGGCTTTGAGGAAATTCATATGTTTTCCACCAATGGGCTCCATGCCAGTCTCAACGGCCTCCTTTTATTAACCGAATGAGCATCTCACTATTCGTGTCTTGGAACTGCGAACACAAACCATTCGGCCAAAACATATATATATATATATATTTTTTTTTTTTTTTATATATTCGGCCATATAGTTTTGTAAAGTGGGCCGAGGATAAAGTGGGGCCGAGACCGAGTAGAACTAGGGTCGAAGACGATGAAAACCATTCCTGGAGCTCGGCCTGCCTATATATACATAACTAATTATATATAACTAATAAAAGTGGTCGAGGAACATTAGCTAGATACGTTTCGTGGCCGAGGAACTTCATTGTCGGCCGAGGTCTTAAAGTGGCCGAAGACCATCATCACATATATATGAATCCAAAACCACAAAAAACAAAATCAAAACTTGGCCCATTGGCCTTGGAATGATGTTGTCGGGCATGCATATTTCTATCACCTCTTTTATATATATATATAAATATATATATATATATATATATATATATATATATATATATTTCTCGACCAAGGCTTGGTGGAAGCAGGCCGAAGTCATTTGGAAGTTCTTCGACCGATCCCCATTTAAAGTATTGGCCGAAAGGCCGAATGATCAGCATCTTCTTGAGTTTCTTGGCCTCGGCTTAGACAGCCGAGAGTTGTCTCTTTTTTTTTTTTTTTTTTTTTTTTTTTTTTTTTTTTTTTGGAAATATCCAACCACGTGAAGGCCTACCACTTAGCACAGGTGGCCTTCTGCAAAAATATATTTTTTTTTTTAAAAACCAAGGACATTTGCCGAGCATACCACTTATTATGTGTCTAATAAACATGGTGGTCATTGGTTAGCTTTCTACAAGGGCTTAATGCCTGTTGCCCCCCTGATTTTCTTAAGTATCGGCCGAGAGGCCGAATGGTTAAGAAAATAATTTAGCAAATGGAAATAAAAGTGGCCGAACCATAATCAGGAGGAGGCCAACGATGTTTTATTCCAAGCTGAGATCTTTTAATATCAAAATTCTCAAATTGATTTTGCTCTAGGCCGAATAAAGAATTTTCTCCAAATATTTTTGACTTGGTGAAATATTTTTTACCATCGGCCGCCAAATGTGTTGGACAATTATTATGCTCCCCAGGCATAACAATTTCGCCAATTTCGGCTTTCAACTCGAACAACTTAGCCGAATGGGATTTCTCCCTATCGGCTTTATCACCAATAATCATATTGATTGGCGTAGTTTCGGCATCTAAAACCATGTCTCCAATTACCATATCAATTGATGTGGTTTTATGGTCTGAAGTCGTGTATCGGTATTGGTCGTCATTGGAACACTCCTCTAAAGAATCATTTTCTGAGTCAATTTTTGGCTCAGAAACTTGAACATTTTCTTCTAGGCCTACCACACTTTTAGTCTCGGCCGAAAAGATAGGTGGCCTTTGTTCCTCGACCAAATTAACAATTTTCTTAGGCCGATGTCTGATTACGGCCGAAGCGGAAAATTGCCCCCCAGTCTTTTCAACCAACCATTCCTCAAATGGAATTGATTTGTAGTCGAAAACGTAAGGAAAATATTTTCCATCTAGCCAGGCATTAAATCGAGCCCTGTCTTCATTTACCCATTGCTCTTGCAGGGTAACATGAGCTTTTATTCTCAACATGTAAGCGAATGACTTTTGCAATTCTTTATGGCCACGAAGAACTTTTTCCACTTCCAAAGATCTCTTTCGTTCTTCATTGTGTTTTTTCAATTCCTCTAGGCGCTCGTACAATCGGCTACGTTGAGCCAGATTGGAATCTTGATATATCATATGAACTTCGTAGTTCTAGCACTGGGTCCCACCGGGCGTGCCAAAATGTTGACTACAAAAATTACAGAGCCTACGTGGCGCGCAGGCCGAGTAACTAATAAGCTAACTACGTCCTTCGGTTGAATGCGGGGCGTGCCAACTCGTCGGCCGAGCTCGGCCGAGGAGTAAAATTTGTTGATGTTGCGTTGAGCGCGTCGGTGACTTCTCTATCTTGCGACTGCGGCCGAGGAAGGAACAAATCTCGGCCTTTGGATTCTCAAGCCTGAAGACAAGGCTGCTAGTTCTATGAAGTTCAATATCAAATTCGGCTCTCAAGGTGCCGAATGTAGTAACCTGGTAACACCTCACTTCGCCGAGAAGGCTAATGAGATGACCTCTGCCAATAAGGATTTGAAAATCCTTCTCGACCGAGACTTGGATAGATAACCAGTCGGCCCCGACGCAGTGCTGTTTATCCAAACTGAAGGTGCTTCGGGAACGGCTGATTCTACGGCAACAGTGCTGTTTATCCAAACTGAAGATGTTCGCCGGTTGCCTTCACAGTGCTGTTTATCCAAACTGAAGATGTGTCGGCGGAAAAAAGAAAATAAAAAAATCTCAAGATGTTTGAGAGGTTTTGCGCAGGGCAGTTGGGTGTTGAATTCGAGGTCCCCTGAATGGTGTTCGCAGCCTTGTATTTATAGAAGCAAATGCATGGTGCGGCTTCACTAGTAGAATTTGATTTCAATTCAAACTGACTGAAAGCCATCATCTCCTAAATTTGCTTTGGTATTATCACCATTTTTCAAAAAGCCCATGTTTTTCCTTCCTTATCCTCTGGATGCATTCCACGTGGCCATTTCCTTATCTCATGATAGGCCAAAGCCTATCACCACCTATTTGCCCGTGCAACCATGCATGCCACATCCTTTTCTTCCAACCACATGCACAAATCCAAAACACCTTTTTTGAAAATGCATAGCCGCACGACATTGAAGCCACCTTTGATCTTCTAATCCGGTAGCATTTAATCTTTTGGACTCCTCAATTATCTCCACATTTTTAGAAATAATTTTCTTAATAATTCCCTAGATAATATTGTGATTATTAAAATCATAATATTATCTAGACAAATTATTAATCAATTATCTCAACCTTCTTCCAATCCAATGGCTCAGAATTTTACTCATTCTACGGTCTCGATTGCTCAGGCCGATAGCGTAAATTTGGGTCCAAACAGTAACTCAGATCAATATCTAAAATTGATAGATTTTCCAAACAGTTTGCAAGAAGTGCAACCCTCATCCTAGCCAACTCCATAACTACACAAGGACTTGTCCTAACTTGGGCTGGAGCTCTGAAACTACCAGAGATGGAGGGCTAAGGAAATCTCGAAGATTCACACACCTCCCTTCAAAACGCGATTGATGAGATCATTAATTTATTTTGCTTGATACTTATGACAGTTGGTGGTGTATTGACAAGAGAGTCTTCCAAACTGAAGTTGAGTTTTGCTTTAGCAGACTTCTAAATTCTTCTTCCTCTAAAGAGCCAATATCCTAGCTAAAGGTAGTCAACCAACTGTGTCATGTCTTTGAAAGAGTGCAGTGTTAGATAAATTCTTAAAAAACAGTATCATGGCTAAAAATTAAAAACTCTAGATGGCTCACGGCCTCATTGATTATAACCTAATAGATTGCACACTCATTCTTGTCTGCGGTGAATACAAAAGTGTTATATTAGGTAATTTAAGATGCATTTGTTGCACGAAACTATCTCGGATTGAAATAGCTTCAGGATTTAAGTTGGACTGACTTAGAATAAACTAAGTTTGACTAACTTAATGCAGTGTTTGGTGTATGTCGGCCTAAGAAGCTGGACTGACTTCTAGTTCTAGTTCAATTCCTAGCCTTCCAATTAAATTACCAATTTTCCTTATATCTTGGACATCAATACATAAAACGCAATTAGCATTGGCCTAACATCCCAACTCTTTCTGTCGAAATCGAATAGCTTAGAACCCTCATAACTAATTTGCAAATTGATCACAATATCTTGTATTCATGGAATTAAGCCCAATGATTCAAAATTACAATTTTTTCGAGAATTCGCAACGACCATGGATTGAACAGACAACCATCCGAAGAATATAATCAATTTTAAAGGCTACACGGCTCTATTAATCACAATCAAAATTCTAAACTTGTTCAAATTCTAAATAGCAAGAGAAATCAACCAAATTGTGAACTTACAACCAAACAAATTACGACAGAGAGAGAGGGAGTTGATGAGAGAGACGAACCGTGAGCTTTTGTTTTTTCCATAATCCACCACCACGCTTTCCCCTCCGTGGTTACTACCGCCGTCGCTGCTGCTTCTGCTGCTACTGCTCGCTCTACCCTCTGTGAAATGCAGTAAGCTTCCTACAAGTCGATCATAATTAGTGAACTGGTTAGTATATATGGCAATGGCAATGGTGGCTGAAGACAAGCAACGGATATGTATATGTAGACACAGCTACTCAAACCCAACAAAGTTCTACACAACCCAGCAAATCTTTTTAATACAATCTTACCCATCCAAATAAAACTTTAATGCATAATTACCCATCCAAAACCATAAAATTCAAGAAAACTAAAATTATCCAAGAAAATTGGCAATATTTGAGCTAAAAATTCAAAATTTTCAGAGATACAAACCCAAAGCAACGAAATTAATCAAAAACACAATAATAATTTCATTATTTGCAAAACAAAATCGAAGAAATAGATCGTCGGATTTAGAATTTACCAGACGAGGAGCAGATAGAAAAGTGATTAATAGAATAAAAAAGGCTACGGCCGTTTTTGGCTAGGGTTAGTGGGTTTGGATTGTAATTTTATTTCACAAAATAGAATCAAAATAAAGTGGTGCATGCGGTGTAAGATCATGTGGAAAGGATGGGTGAATGATGGAATTCCAAGAGAAGGTCATTCACCTTTGAACTATGACTCTTCCTTCACAAGCATAATATGACTCCCTAAATTTACAAATGAATCTTGAGTTTATGATCTTTTTTTTTTTTTTTTTTTTTTTGTTTTGTTTTGTTTTGTTTTGTGGTGGGAAACTTTGTTTTCTTAGCCTGGTACTGAGGTGATTTTGAAAAAATTGGCTATTATTATGTTTGGTAAACATTCAGCTTCAGTTTTTTTTCACAGTTTTGGATGAAAAAAAGCCAAAAACACAAAGCTGCAAAACCTAGCTTTGAAAAATCAGTTTTTTTTCACATCTGTTTTACATAAAAGTTTATCAAACACTATAATATTACTTTTTTTATTTTTCAAAAGCAATTTTACAAAAAAGTTTACTAAATACTCTGCTGCTTTATTTCACAGCTGCTTATTCTCAGAGCATAGCAGAAGTAGGTTTTTTTTCAAAGCACAACAATACCAAACTAACCCTTATTCTTATGTCGCACAGCTGGTGATATGGTGTCATCCGTCTGCGGAATTTTCAGGTTCCATTTAATGATTCACTGCAACATCATATATGGGGCATAGCTGGAAATAATGTTCATGGAGGTACAAGCAACTGAGGACACAAGTCTTTATGGAATTGTAAAACGACCACGCATCGCCAAACTTTTTTTCAATTTTAAGTGAGTCATTTTGTCAGCATTTGGCCAACCTATACCTATTTTTAATATAACAAATATTGACCCTGAAGACATATTATAAAACATTACCTGGGTTCAAGCTACTCATGATCTGATTACAAGTAATGAGGTGCACTTGTGAGAAGTTTGGAAGACGGTTCGTACCTTGTTTTGCGAGAAGATTGGTGCAAGAAGTCTGGAGATCTCACCCCGCTTCTAAGTTCATCATCTTTTTCCTCTTCCATTTCGAACACCTCATCTTTACCATCCTCGAGATTGAACAATTATTCATCTTCCTCAAAGAATTATTTCTCTTGCTCATTGATTTATAACAATCTACTTGAAGAAGACATTGTAAAAACTCGAGATTTATAAACTATGAAGAAAGATTCTGAGCTATTTTGATTTTGGTGTATGACTTTAGGATGGATGAAGAGTTTATATGGGAAAAAAAGATGAGGTTGTAAATAATGCCATGTGGCACGACGTGATTGGTTAAAAATCTTATCGAAATATATTCTCAAGGATTCTAAACAGATAGTGACATGTGGCGCAATATGATTTGTTCAAAATCTTATCAGAAATCTGTCCATATAATTCTTACAAAATCATGACACATAGCACTACAGAATTGGCTAAAAATCTACTTAAAAATCTTATCCGAAAAATTGTACTTTTGGATCATAATTCGTGACGTGACAAAATTGGTTAAAAAACCTATTCGAAATTAAAAATAAATATTAAAAAAATAAATAATATTTTGATGCGAATTACCTAGGCTATTCAGATTAGGAGTGGAGATGCACTAGGACAGCTAGTGTTAGTTACTATTCGTTTGGGTGGATTGAATTGACTATTAACTAGGAAACTTTTTACGGTTCATTACAGGCAGTTACAACAATTAATGACATCACTGCCGAAACATTCATGGGTATAAACTATAAATCACAGAGATAGAAGGCAAAAATTCAAATATAATAATTGGCTAGGGAAAAAAAAAAAGAAAAACAAGGAACTCGTGATGAGATACAAATTAACTTTCCCCTACAATTAATACATTTTTCTTCTGCTCATCTGAAAATTCTGAACTACAATTAAATCCGAAACAAATTAATCGTACATAAATAAGAAAAATCCGCTCGCACAAGTTAACATGCATCCTCCTAAGGCCCGTTGTGGCATAGGGCGAGCAGGGCGACTGCCACTGCCACTGCCAGGCTCCAAAAAAAGTTGGGTTCACAAGTTGACACATTGCGTTCCTAGCGAGGAATCCCCATGCATGCATGCGTATAACTAGCAAAGGCCGTCGCAATGTGGTGATCTGATGATGAATACTAGTTATAGGGAACATGGTAGTACTTCCCTTTACACATGCACCTGTAAACAATTGGGCATGACTCTGAAACGAAGCACTTGAAGCTCACCATCACTCTTTTACATGGAAAGCACGGTCCGCACGCATGTGAACAGTCCGGCAACTTCGACCCGCTTCCAAGTAGGTCCTTCCTCGCTTCTTCCGTTCCTCCTTCCTTGCTTCGGTATAGGTTGTCTCTGTTACCGGCTCCGACTTCTCTTTGAAGGTCTACTGAAGTATCAAGGAAGACAAATTAAGAGTGATCATATATATGTAACCAACATTAATGAATGAGATATGGATTATACGTACGTGGGACGTGAGGAAGCCTAACACATAGGCTTCTGCCTATCGTAATTAGCATGAAGAAAACCACAAGGAGGAAACTTGTGTGAGCTGCAACTCCAACAGACAAGTTCTTCTTCATGTTTTGTTTGTAATTTGTAGTTCTTGTAGTGATTGAAATTAACTACACAAATACGAGGAACTACTCAGTAGCACGGAAAATAAACTGATGAAGATTAACTTTAAAAATATTAACTCTAAGAAATCAAGCGATAAGAATTGTTTAAAATGTCGGACTACTAAAGGCAAATCCTGAAAAGAGATTTCATTACAAAGGAAGACTTAAGAAAAGCTAAAGAGAGAGAGAGTAAGAAAGAAGAAGGTGCATGATAAGGGATATCGATGGGGGTAAATATATACACATAATTTATGTAAGGGGTAAAATATTAAATGGAAATGAGGAGGGAATGGTTTTAAATGTGGCATGTGGCATGTGGCAGGGTACATCTGTTGCACTTCACATGATCCACGGCCATCCTTTCAATTTCAAAGTATCACATGTTTTGGCAAGTTTTCCAATTTTAACATAAAGTCCCAGATTTTGCAGTGCCCACAAGTGATGATTTCAAAAGCACAAAATTTGGAACTTGTACTGTTACTTTAAATATATAGATACTGAAGTGCATGTCTAAAATTATACTATTGGGTAAGAATCCTTAGTGTAAAAATATTGACGTACTAAAAAAAAAAAGGAATTGTTATTGTCACTCTAAAAATCTCATTCTATCACTCCAAACTTTCTATATTTGGAAAGCAAAATACACTTGTGAGGAGTGTAGAATGAGATTTTTAGAGTGCCAATAACATTCCCAAATAAAATTACAATATTAGGTCATATAGTAGAATGTACAAAAATTTAAAAGCTAAACAGCTCTCTTAATCGAGAAAAACTTGTGTGGGGCTTGGCTTGCCACTGGACTTCGTTAGTGGCACTACAATCTACTTAAAATTCGCCACGCGGCAAGTCTTAAATATAAACTTTTATCATTCTTTTATATTTAAAATTTTTATAGTTATTTTTTTAACTAATTAATATATTATATATATTAATGTTATGTTTCCTTTTTTATTTCTTTCCCCCTATTTTTTTCTTCCCAAATCCCCCCTCCCCAACTTTGTTTTGCCGTAGGTCTTAGGACTCCCTCCCCTTTCTTTCTTTCCCAGTTTTGTTTCTTTCTTTCTTTAAAAAAAAAAAAAAAAAATCTCATTGCGTAACATTATTTGATTTATTTCTTCGAATATGCCCTTTACGAAGACTGAACCCCTTCCTCAAAGTATAAGCATTGCATACTTGAAAAGCTTCAGCATCTGAATGCACCATCATTCCGATTTTTAGATCTTCTTCAAACTCCATTGCCTCAACAGCAACCGATCAATTGAAAAAAAAAAAAATCAAAGATTAAACTAACATATTAATTAAAGACTCATAATAAAGAAGGTAGTGAACATAACAGATACCCTAATTCATATTATAAGTATAAAAAACTAAAAACCCTCATCCGAACCCAAAAACCCCCAATTAAAAGAAAAAAACAAAACCCTAATACAGCTATATATGTGGATTATTCATGTCATATGATCAAAGCAACTATTGTATAAAGAAAGAAAAGAAACTTGCACATTCTTGGTTGCTTTCCATGATAAAATTGGAGTGGGTGCAGAACTTTTTTTTTTTTTTTTTTTTTTTTTTTTAAAGAAAGAAGGAAACAAAACTGGGAAAGAAAGAAGGGGGAGGGAGTACTGAAACCTAAGACACCTATGGCAAAACAAAGTGTTTTTTTTGGGGGGTGGGGTGATTTGGGAAGAAAAAAAAATTGGGGGAAAGAAATAAAAAAGGAAACATAACATTAATATATATATATATATAATATTAATTAGTTAAAAAAATTATTATAAAAATTTTAAATATAAAAGAATGATAAAAGATTATATTTAAGACTTGTCACATGGCGAGTTTTGAGTGGATTGTAATGCCACTCAACGAAGTCCAGTGGCAAGCCAAGCCCCATACAAGATAAATTCAGATTAAATACTGAGTTTGACTTCGACTTTAAGGAAAAATACAGGTTTAATTAAATTTTATAAAATAGGTCACAAATTTTATTGCAGGTGACCGGTTACTAAATAAAAGATAGGGCAGATTTCTAACTTGTTCTCAAGTTTATTTCTTTTATAATTTTAAAAGGTCCGGTGCAGTGTGAGGTGAACTTTGAGGGTTTAGGGTTTTCGAAGGTTCGTCAAGGGCTGGTGTTGATCATTTTCGGTTAGGGTTTTAGCATTTTATTGGGAGGGGCTTAGGACTTGGAATTTATTTTTGTAAAAAATAAATACATATTTAAAATAGGGACGGATCCGTGACACCGTATTTTTGACATAAATTTTGGCACAAATCTTAAACCGTTAGATTTATACTTTTAATGGTTGAGATCTAATTTGACATGGCATTTAGTTAATTTTCTAAACAAATATACATAGAAAATTAAAATTTTAAAACTTTTTAATTATCACTTACATTCTCTCTCCTCAATATTGTGATTGATTTGTTCCCTCGCTTTCCTTTTTTATTTTTTATTTATTTATTTTCTCTTCTCTTGCCATCACTGTTAGTCGATCTGTTATGGTGCTCTGGTTATTGCATCAAGATTCACATTATTTGTGAGATGAAGACTAGTCAACAATTATCTAGAGTGAACACCAAAAATTGACAACAAGATTAGG